TAGCAGCAAAGTTCTGTTGTGGATAGAGGAACATGTACTGGCTCCATTCAAATCCAGGCTGTTGGAAAGCTGGGGTTTTGGCAAGCTGCAATACATCCTAGGTTAGTTAGATGTATAGGGTCTTAAGAGATCATGGAACCTTAATGGTACCAGACCACAATCCTGATACAGTCATCTTAGCCTATGAAATAAAAGCTATTATAGTGGAGAAGACCAAACAGAATATTCTAAAGCTCACCCTCTAATGGTTAAGACAGAAAATAAAATATTATACCCTGAAAGGAGATGACATTACTGTCACAATTAAAAATTCCATTATTTTATCACATCTCCATTAAATCAGTCTGACCACTACAAAAGTCAGGATCTTAGAAAGATCTGGGAGAAATGAAGTGGACAACCATAATCTCTAGAAGTATGAAGCATCTGCTATACAGGCTATACAGCCTCAAGGATACATCAGTATACATGTAGAGTCCCAGGGCTATGTTCACTACTATATCTGCCGTCAAAATGTTGTCTGAAGGGACCTGATACACCTGGACACTGCAGAATATCGCACTCGTTATCTATGTCAATGATATTCTATAATTGGCCCAGATAAGCAAGTGGGAAATCTGTTGTAGGAACTCCAGAGGGTGAGAATTAAAACCTATGAAGACGCATGGGTCTGTCACTTCACTGAAGCTTTTAGGAGTCCAGAAGTTGTGGGGCATGCCAGGCCACACGCCCAGAGTAAAGGACATCCTCACCATGAAGAAAGGATAAAGGATGACATGACTTTCCAAGATTTGGAGGTAGCGTATATGCCACCCTTGAGAGTAATGTTCTGACCTGCATATCAGATGACACAAAAGGCTGCTAGCTTTGAATGACAGGGTTGAAAAGGGCCCTGCTGCTTGGACCATGCAACCTGGCAGATCCTATGGCAATAGAAGTGTCAATGATGTCAGAAAAATGTCATGTAGAGTTTATGGCATGTGCTAATAAAAATCCAACATAGACCTGTGTTACAGCAAGGATATGCCTTCCAAAGCAGAGAACTGTATACTATTAAAAAATAGCTCCTCGCATGCTATTGGACCGCTAGAGATGGAGCATCTTATACTGAATGCCGAGGGACCCCTAAAACTGCCCATCCTGCATGGGTTTCTATCAGACTCACCAAGTTATAAGTTGGGGTAGGCCCAGCAGTAATCCATCAAAAAAATGGAATACACAATTGAACACAAGCAAATCATAGTACACAATTATTTGGTTCAAACCCCCATGTCATTCACAAATGTTCTACTGATAGAACGCTCTCCACTCACACCTACGGACATGTGGAAGATTTCTTACGACCAACTGACAGAAGTAAAAAGTTTGTCTCCAGATGACTCATCCTATATGGAAGTATAAGCAAAATAGCACTGCGACTGTACTATAGCTGAGCCCAGATACTTGAGAGAAAAATCATCCTGAGGGTCAGAACATTGAGTAGCACATGTAGACATACTTGATGGGGAAAAATATGCAATTTATAGCATATACAGAATCATGGACAATAGTGACTTGGCTAGCTGGTAAGGGACCTAAAAGAACAAATATTGGAAGATAAGGGTCAAGAAGGTCTGGGGAAGAGGCATGTGGACATACATGTAAGAGTGGACACTGTGAAGACTTTCCTATTATGTATTTACACCCACTATAGAATGCTGTCCAGAGACAATTTACAATAAAGTAGACAGAATGGCTCCTTTCACTTGACATCAGTGCTTTCCCAATAAGTACAGGAGTGGAATAGCTGCAGTGACAGAAATTAGGTCTATGTATTAGCCCCAAACCATCGGCTCCTATTCACCAAAGCTGTTCTAACGACCAGTGCCACAAAATACACAAATTGCAAGCAACTAAAATAAATTCTGAACCTCTGAATATGGCACCACCTCTAGAGACCCACTGGTAATTTGGCAGTTTTATAGGAATAGACACGTACTCCAGGTAAAGATTTGCCTTTCCTGCCAGCAGGGTCTTGACTATTGCTACCTATCTAAGGCCCATAGAATGTTGGTCCAGTGACAAAATCATGGAACAAAGGATTCACATTATAGCAAAGTAGGATGGCTGTGAACACATGACCCATGGGACTCACCAGTACTACCCCATATGGAACACCCAGAGCTCCAGACTAGACAAAATGATAGAATAGCCTGTTAAAAGTAAAGCTTAGATCACAGCTTAAAAATGATCACCCTGGGAGTACTTCTTATATAGTAAGGATATAATCTAAATTGAAAACCATATGATGGTTCTATATCACCAATAGCAAAAACACATGGAGGCTAGGAATGGAAAAGAGTGGCTCTACTTCTATCATTTCCTGTGACCAACTTTGGTAATGTGTCTCCAGTCTCTGAAACCCTGTGGTCTTGGTTTTAGAGGATCTTGTTACCAGAAAGCCAATCCTTTCATTAGGGGATACAGTGAGAATCTCACTGTGTCTCAAGCAATGGCTGTCATCCCGTGGCTTCTGTGCCCTGTGCTTCATGTGTACTTCGAGACATGCCTTCAATGCTCTGCCAAACAGTTTACAACTGTACCCTAGCATTAGCACCTGCTTATGCGGAGCCTCAAGCTTAGTTGGAAATTCAGACCTTTTCGGGTCCTCCTGAGAATGCATACAACTCTTAGCCTGTGCACAGCTCTGAACATGTGTGTTGCCTTCTAGATTCTCAGGAATATGTTGGAGCTTTCTTAAATTCTTCATGAGCATGTCATTTCCCAACTCCTTAAGTTTGGTCAGTTTCTTGATTACCCCAACTGTTATCACTGCTGCAGATGTTAAATGATATTTTTGATAAATGCTCTAGGAAAAAAGCTGTTTGCAAAGATTAAGCTGAGTCAGGTTCAATAAGGACCAGCCCTGTGATTGAAGATTTCTAGGAAATTGCCAGATAGATGAAACAATTGTAGTCTAGAAACTGGGCTCTTTGAGAAGAAACCAATCCCATTTTGTCCCTTCAGTGCTAGGGTATTTTTTATGGCAACCATGATTATGAAGCTCTTGGTTTACAGGACTATCCTCGATCTGGGGGAAAGGGAATGGAAGTAGGACATGCCAAACCATCAGAGTCTGCTGTTCTTACAAGATTCAGCAGGTTTTTTGTTTTTTGGGTTTTTTTTTTGTAATACTTCTCAGATTCTTGCTGGTTTTCTTTTATTTAATTTTTATTATATTTTAAGTTCTGGGGTACATGTGCAGATTGTGCAGGTTTGTTACATAGGTATGCAAGTGCCATGGTGGTGGTTTCTGCCATCCAGTGCCCCGTCATCTACATTACACCTAATGTAGATATACACTAAATTATACCTAATGTATAATTTCTCCTAATGCTTTCTCTCTCCAATACCCCCGCACCCTCTGCTATTCCTCTTCTAGCCCCCACCACTTGGGCTCCAGTGTATGATGTTTCCCTCCCTGTGTCCGTGTGTTCTCATTGTTCAACACCCACCTGAGTGAGAACATATGATCTGATCTTGCATCAATTTGCTGACAATGGTTTCTAGTTTCATCCATGTCCCCGCAAAGGACATGAACTCATTTTTTATGGCTGCATAGTATTCCATGGTGCATATGTGCCACACTTTCTTTATCCAGTCTCTATCATTGATAGGCATTTGGGTTGGTTCCAAGTCTTTGCTATTGTGAACAGTGCCACAGTAAACATACATGTGCATGTGTCTTTATAATAGAATGATTTATAATCATTTGGGTATATACCCAGTAATGGAATTGCTGGGTCAAATGGTATTTCTATTTGTAGATCCCTGAGGAATCACCACACTGTCTTCCACAATGGTAGAATTTACACTCCCATCAACAGTGTAAAAGCATGCCTATTTCTCCATATCCTCTGCAGCATCTCTTGTCTCCTGATTTTTTAATGATCACCATTCTGACTGGTGTGAGATGGTATCTCAATGTGGTTTTGATTTATATTTCTCTAGTGACCAGTGATGATGTTTTTTTCATATTTGTTGGCTGCATAAATGTTGTCTTTTGAGAAGTATCTGTTCATATACTTCACACACTTTTTGATAGGGTTGTTTTTTTCTTACAAATTTAAGTTCTTTATAGAATTGAGATATTAGCCCTTTGTCAGACGGGTAGATTGCAAAAATTTTTTCCCATTCTGTTGGTTGCCAGTTCACTCTACTGATAGTTTCTTTTGCTGTGTACAGCTAGTGTTCGACTTACGACCATGGTCGGGACCGCAGACCAGTCGTAACACGATTTGGTCGTAAGTTGAGTAGGCTATATGTACAGTTGAAATGGTGCACGCGGAGGTGGTAGTGCTGCCGGAAGCTGGTCCGCACTGTTGTACGCCCAGCTGGGCAATGTTTGCACTGCCAGACGCAGAGCAGTCATGGCTAGCGATTGTGGTCGTAAAATTGAATGTTCGTAAGTTGCATAGGTGGTAAGTCGATCAATACCTGTAGAAGCTCTTAAGTTTAATTCATTCTCATTTGTCTATTCTGGCTTTTGTTGCCAGTGCTTTTGGTGTTGTAGTCATGAAGTCCTAACCCATGCCTATGTCCTGAATGGTATTACCTAGGTTTTCTTCTAGAGTTTTTATGGTGTTAGGCCTCATGTCTAAATCTTTAATCTATCTAGAGTTAATTTTTGTATAAGGTGTAAGGAAGGGGTCCAGTTTCAGCTTTCTGTATATGGCTATCCAGTTTTCCCACCACCATTTGTTAAATAGGGAATCCTTTCCCCGTTGCTTGTTTTTGTCAGGTTTGTCAAAGATCAGATGATTGTAGTTGGGTGGCATTCTTTCTGAGGCCTCTATTCTGTCCCATTGGTTTATATCGGTTTCACTGCCAGTGCCATGCTGTTCTGATTATAGTAGCCTTGTAATATAGTTTGAAGTCAGGTAGTGTGGTGCCTCCAGCTTCCCCCCACAACCCGCTTAGGATTGTACTGGCTATGCGGGCTCTTTTTTGGCTCCATATGAAGTTTAAGGCGGTTATTTCCAATTCTTTGAAGAAAGTCATTGGTAACTTGATGGGGATAGCACTGAATATAACCATGAGCATGGAATGTTTTTCCATCTGTTTGTGTCCTCTTATTTCCTTAAGCAGTAGTTTGTAGGTCTCCTTGAAGAGGTCCTTCACGTCCCTTGTTAGTTGTATTCCTAGGTATTTTATTCTCTGCAGCAATTGTGAATGGGAGTTCATTCATGATTTGGTGCTCTGCATGTCTATTGAGGTATAGGAATGCTTACAACTTTTGCACACTGATTTTTTATCCTGAGACCTTGCTGAAGTTTCTTATCTTAAGATTTGGGCCAAGATGATGGACTCTTCTAAATATACAATGATGTCATCTGCAAACAGGGACAATTTGATGTCCTCTCTTGCTATTCCAATACACTTTATTTCTTTCTCTTGCCTGATGGCCCTAGTCAGAACTTCCAATACTGTGCTGAATAGGAGTGGTCAGAGAGGGCATCCTTGTCTTGTGCCAGTTTTCAAAGGGAATACTTCCAGTTTTTGCCCATTCATTATGACATTGGCTGTGGGTTTGTCATAAATAGCTTTTACCATTTTGATATATGATCTATCAATACCTAGTTTATTGAGAGTTTTTAGCATAAATAGGCTGTTGAATTTTATCGAAGGCTTTCTCTGCATCTATTAAGATAATCATGTGGTTTTTGTCTTTGGTTCTGTTTATGTGATGAATTATGTTTACAGATTTGTGGAGGTTGAACCAGCCTTGCATCTCTGGGATCAAGCTGACTTGATTGTGATGGATAAGCTTTTTGATGTGCTGTTGGATTCAGTTTGCCAGTATTTTATTGAAGATTTTTGCATTGATGTTCATCATGGATATTGGCCTGAAATTTTCTTTTTTAGTTGCACTTCTGCCAGGTTTTGGTATCAGGATGATGTTGGTCTCATAAAATGAGTTAGGGAGGATTCCGTCTTCTTATATTGTTTGGAATAGTTTCAGAAGGAATGATACCAGTTCCTCTTTGTACCTCTGGTAGAAATTGGCTGTGAACCATCTGGTCCTGGATTTTTTTTTTTTTTTTTTTTTTTTGGTTGGTAGGCTATTAATTGCTACCGCAACTTCAGACCTTGTTATTGGTCTATTCAGGAATTCAACTTCTTCCTGTTTTAGTCTTGGGAAAATGTAAGTGTCCAGGAATTTATCCATTTCTTCTAGGTTTACTGGTTTATTTGCATAGAGGTGTTTGTAGTAATCTCTAACAGTAGTTTGTATTTCTGTGGGATCAGTGGTGATATCTACTTTATTATTTTTTACTGCATCTATATGATTATTCTCTTTTTTATTAGTCTGACTAGCAGTCTAATTTGTTGATCCTTTTCAAAAAAAAAAAAACAGCTCCTGGATTTATTGATTTTTTTTTTTTTTTGAAGAATTTTTTGTGTCTCTATATCTTTCAGTTATGCTCCAATATCAGTTATTTCATGTCTTCTGCTAGCTTTTGAATTGTTTGATCTTGCTCCTCCATTTCTTTTAATTGTGATGATAGTGTTCAATTTTAGATGTTTCCTCACTTCTCATGTAGGCATTTAGTGCTATAAATTTCCCTCTAGACGCTGCTTTAAATGTATCCCAGAGATTCTGGTACATTGTTTCTTCATTCTCATTGGTTCCAAATAACATTTTAAATTTTGCCTTCATTTCATTATTTAACCAATAGTCAGTCAGGAGCAGGTTGTTCAGTTTCCATGTAGTTGTAGAGTTTTGAGCGAATTTCTTAATCCTGAGTTCTAATTTGATTGCACTGTGGTCTGAGAGACTGTTATGATTTCTGTTCTTTTGCATTTGCTGAGGAGTGATTTACTTCCAATTATGTGGTCAATTTTAGAGTAAGTGCGATATGGTCCTGAGAAGAATGTATATTCTTTGGATTTGGGGTGGAGAGTTCTGTAGATGTCTACTAGTTCTGCTTGGTCCAGCTCTGAATTCAAGTCCTGGATATCCTTGTCAATTTTCTGTCTCATTAATCTAATATTGACAGTGGATGGTTAAAGTCTCCCACTATTATTCTGTGGGAGTCTAAGTCTCCTTGTAGGTTAAGAACTTGCTTTATATATCTGGGTGCTCCTGTATTGGGTCCATACATATTTAGGATAGTTAGCTCTTCTTGTTGCATTGATCCCTTTACCATTATGTAATGCCCTTCTTTGTCTCTTTTGATCTTTATTGGTTTAAAGTCTATTTTATCAGAGACTAGGATGGCAAATTCTCCTTTTTTTGCTCACTATTTACTTGGTAAATCTTTTAATCATTTAAGGTTAATATTATGTGTGAATTTGATCCTGCCATTTTGATGCTAGCTGGTTGTTTTGCTTGTTAGTTGATGCAGTTTCCTTATTGTGTTATTGGTCTTTACCATTTGGTATGTTTTTGCAGCGGCTGGTACTGGTCGTTACTTTCTGTGTTTAGTGCTTCCTTCAGGAGCTCTTGTAGGGCAGGCCTGGTGGTGACAAAATCTCTCAGCAATTGTTTGTCTGCAAAGGATTTTATTTCTCCTTCACTGGTGAAGCTTAGTTTGGCTGGATATGAAATTATGGAATGAAAGTTACTTTCTTTAAGGATATTGAATATTGGTCCCCACTCTTGCTTGTAGAGTTTCTGCCAAGAGATCCACTGTGAGTCTGATGGGCTCCCCTTTGTGGGTAACCCGACCTTTCTCTCTGGCTGCCCTAAGCATTTTTTTCTTCACTTCAACCCTGGTGAATCTGACGATTATGTGCCTTGTGGTTACTCTTCTCAAGGAATACCTTTGTTGTGGTCTCTGTATTTCCTGTATTTGAATGTTGGCCTACCTCGCTAGGTTGGGGAAGTTCTAGTATCCTGAAAAGTGTTTTCCAACTTGGTTTCATTCTTCCTGTCACTTTCAGGTACAACAATCAACATAGATTTGGTCTTTTCACATAATCCCATATTTCTTGGAGGCTTTACTCATTTCTTTTTACTCTTTTTTCTCTAATCTTGCCTTCTCACTTTATTTCATTGAGTTGATCTTCAATCTCTGATATCCTTTCTTCCACTTGATCGGTTCAGCTATTGAAACTTTTGTATGCTTCACAAAGTTCTAGTGCTGTGTTTTTCAGCTCCATCAAGTCATATATGTTCTTCTCCATGCTGGTTTTTCTCATTAGCATTTCATCTAACGTTTTTTAGGTTCTTAGTTTCCTTGCATTCCTTAGGTTAGAATGTGCTCCTTTAGCTTGGAGAATTTTGTTGTTACCCACCTTCTGAAGCCTGCTTCTGTCAATTCGTTAGTCATTCTCCATCCAGTTTTGTTCCCTTGCTGGTGAGGGGTTGTGATCCCTTGGAAGAAAGAAGCATTCTGGCTTTTGGCGATTTCAGTGTTTTTGCACTGGTTCCTTCCCACGTTTGTTGATTTATCTACCTTTGGCCTTTGAAGTTGGTGACTTTTGAATGGGGTTTGAGTGGATGTCCTTTCTGTTGATGTTGAAGCTATTTCTTTGTTTTCCCTTCTAACAGGCCCCTCTGCTGCAGGTCTGCTTGAGTTTGCTAGAGGTCCACTCCAGACCCTCTTGCCTGGGAATCACCCGCAGGGGCTGCAGAACAGCCAAGATTGCTGCCCATTCCTTCTGGTAGCTTCGTCCCAAAAGGGTACCTGCCAAATGTCAGTCAGAGCTCTCCTGTATGTTGTGTCTCTCAGATAGGATATACAGGGAGTCAGGGAGCCATTTGAGGAGGCAGCCTGTCCCTTAACAGAGCTCAAGTACTGTTCTGGGGGGTCTGTTGCTCCCTTCAGGGGCTGCCGGGTGGGGACGTTTAAGTCTGCTGAAGCGGAATCTGTAACAGCCCCTTTTCCCAGGTGCTCTGTCCCAGGAAGGTGGGGGATCTGTAAGTCCCTGGTGGGCTTTTTTTTTTCTCCCCTGAGATGCCCTGCCCAGCAAGGAGGGAAGCTACTTGACAATCTGCCTGCAGAGGCCTTGCTGAGCTGCCAAGCTGGGCTCCACCCAACTGCTGTGAAAACTTCCCAGTGTCTTTGTTTACACAGGCAATGTTGAAACTGCCTATGGGAGAGTCAGCAATGGCAGGTGCCCATCCCCCCATGACAATTGAAAGTCCCAGGTAGAGCTCAGACTGCTGTGTTGGCTGCGAGAATTTCCAGCCAGTGATCTTAGCTTGCTGATCTTCATGGGAGTGGGACCCACTGAGCCAGCGTGCTTGGACCCCTGGCTTCAGCCCCCTTTTTCAGGGGGAATGAGCTGTTCTGTCTCCCTGACATTCCAGGTGCCACTTGACTAAAACAGCCACCCAGTTTTGTGCTGGAAACCTGGAGAACTGGCGTTATAGGCACCAGAGGGAATCTCCTGATCCGTGGGTTGTATAGACCATGAGAAAAGTGCAGTATCTCAGTCTGAGTGCCCAGAGTGCCTGGAAAAGTCCCTAATGGCTTCTCTTGGCTGGGAGAGAGAGTTTTCTGGCCCCTTGTACCTCTCAGGTGAGGCTATGCCCCACCCTGCTTCAGCTTGCCCACCTTGGGCTGTTCCCACTGTCTTACCAGTCCCAATGAGATGAACCTGGTGCCTCAGTTGGAAATGTGGAGCTCACTTGTCTTCTGGCGTGCTCTCGCTGGGAACTGGAGACCGGAGCTGTTCCTCTTTGGCCATCTTGGCGAAAGTCAGCTCTTGCTGGTTTTCTTAAATACTTCTCAAATTGTTGCAGACTTTGATTTCCAGAGTTCTTAGAGTTGATCTTGACAATTTTCGGCTAGTGTTATCATTACTTTTGATGAGGACTGGGTTTTTCAGAGGTCCTTAATCTGTCATTCTGGAAGTGTGATGACAAAAAGGAAACTTTTAAGACTTAAACAAATGGAGAGAGATATTGTTTTTATTCATTGAAAGACTCAACATTAAGTTCTCAGTTCTCCCCAAAGTGACCTATGAATTCCATGCAATCTCATACTCCTTCAGGCTCTTTAAATAAAAGTAAATATGCTTATTTTAAAACACACATGGAAATTCAAAGGACCTAAAATATCCAGAATAATCTTAAAAACTGGATTCAACTAAGTTAAAGTCTTACTACAAATCTGCTGTAATCAGGATGGTGTGGCATTGGCATAAGAATAAACAGATAAGTCAAATAAAATAAATGGAGACTTAAGACATAGGTCTGCACTTAATGGTAACTTTATATCTTTGTCAAAAAAAATCATCTTTTTAGTAAGTGGTGCTATAATCATCAGACATCCACTTAGAAAAAAATAAACCTCAACCCCCACCCCATATCACATTGTACAGAAAACTTAGTTTCAGATGGATTACACAATGAAACTTAAAAGGTACAATGCATCTAGAAAATGTAAGATCTTTACACTTGG